TCACTGCATCCTGGGGAGGGTGGTGACCCCATCCCGGGCCTCTCAGTTCTGCTGACTCGGGGCTCGCGCTCAGCCGGGCTGGAGAGTGGACACGCAGGTCCGCGGACGTGCCGAGCGCGCCCCTTCATCACGCAGGCGGGAGGCGAGTGGGTGTGCGTCCACTTGCTCTGGGACGTGAGGCTGGGTCGGTGCCTCCAGCCCGGTCAGCGCTGCCCTGCCCCATCGGCCTTGCGCCCACTGGCCTCCTGGGTAGCCAGAGGTGACGGTTTTATTGGGAGCCGTGCGGCGCTGCGTTCTCCCTCTCCCCGGCCAAGATTAGCGAGCGTCCCCCCCTCGGCTGCTTGGCTTGGTTCCTCCAGAGTGGACGTCATCCGTAAAGGCTCCCTTCCTCCCTCTGTTCGCCACGCAGCAGAATGAAAGCAGCTCACTTCGGACAGCGTAACGCGCTGTTGCCTGGTGATTTCCACGTGCCGTCAGTTTGGCCTTTGACTGTTGTCGTGGAGTTCAGTCTGTCTGGCATGTTCCAGTCGATTGTAGTCACCTCTGCTTCATGTGAGCTGGGCAGCATCCAGGTCCCCCACGTGGCTTGGCCGTCAGGCCTGACCGCCTGCTTCAGACTTACCAGGAGAGCCTCGGGGTGCACTTTTCTCTTTGTTAAAAAAAAAAAAAAAAAAGAGCTAGTGTCTGGGCTCCATCTTCTGAAAAGACTGGAAACAGTGACCCAGCCCCGGGCTGCGTGTCCCCCCATGCCACATCGGACAGTGAGGAGACAGCCCACGTCCAGGGCCGGGAGCGTGTGAGATATTTCCACTTGAAATACAATCACAGATGTTTTTCCTTTAATTGCTTGATTTTGGCACGCATACCCTGTGCTCTTCTTGAGAATCCCTGGCTTTTAAAGACACTTGTACTGGTGAGCGGTTAACCACAGTCGCTCCACACGACTCACCTCCCAGGCTCGACGGCACAAGCTGGGGGTGGCACTCGGCGGCCAGCAGGCCCAGCCGCGCCCCACCCGCCCACCCACAGCAGGGAGACGCCGGCCTGGGGCTGTGGCGCACAGGGGCGCTCGGGCGTGGGTCAGGGGATGTGGTCACCGCAGGCTCGCTGGGGAGGGGCCTCCCCTTTCCCCTCCTCGTGCAGGCCCCTGGGCACCCCCGCCCTGGCCCACGGGCCTCTGCGGACAGTGTCCAAAGGAGCAGGAGTAGGTGTCAGCCTGTGCGCTGCCCGCTCCGCCGTGGGCCAGAGGCGCCCGTATCAGGCGGCCGCGTGGTTGGGCCCGTGGCGTCGTCCTCCGTGGGCCCAGACTCACCTGGGGGGGTCACGTGAACGACGCGGCCCTGCTGTTGCAGGCCTGCACGCTGGCGAGGAGGAACGCCGACGTCTTCCTCAAGTACCTGCACAGGAACAGCGTGAACATGCCGGGCATGGTGACCCACGTCAAGGCCCCGGAGCAGCAAGTGAAAAGTGAGTGCGCCCCCGGCCGGCCCTGGAGGCTGAGGCCCGAGGCCACGCTCGCCTCGGACAGCCTGCGGTCTGCCGGCCCCCCGGGAGCCCCGGGCGGCGAGCAGCGTGGCCGGGCGCCTCGCACCCTCGCAGAGAAGTTCCCGCAACCCAGCAGCGCAGGCACGGGGTGGCGCGGGCGTCTGGGCCACCCGCGCCCACGCGGCCTCTGTCCCCCCAGACATCTTGAACGAGCTCTTCCAGCGGGAGAACAGGGTGCTGCACTACTGGACCATGAGGAAACGGCGGCTGGACCAGTGCCAGCAGTACGTGGTCTTCGAGCGCAGTGCCAAGCAGGTGAGCCGCCCGCCCCAACCGGCCCCCGCTGCCCGGGAGGCCAGGGACCCCGGCATGCTGGAAACCCACTTGGCAATCGTCATCACAACAGTTTTCGCCTTCGAATTAGCAGTTTGTTGTGAAAAAGAGCCGCCCTCCTTCCAAGCTCGTTGGAATGTGGCACGGGTGATGTGGGGGCTGGCAAGGACACCCTCAGCTTTCCTCTCCGCCCCCCTACATGTTAGCCGTGACTCGGAACCCTTGGGGAGCTGGGATCACACCTCACTGACGCTGCGGTGGGTGTGTGTTAATACTTCCAAGATGAGATTTTGTTCCTTAGATAAATTGAGCTAAAGTTAGCTCAGAGGTGTGATGTAATTTGTGATCATTCGGTCAAGACACGTTCGCGCAGTTGACGAAAGCAGAGCCCTCGGGGCCTCTTTGAAGTGCCCCCTTCTGCAGCCGTGGGGGCCTGGGTTTCCGCCCTGCAGGAGGAGGCAGGTCAGGCTAGGGCAGGCCCTGGCCTCTGGCCTGAACGCTGCTGTCCCTGCCTTGCTCTGTCCCTGACAGCAGCGAACCATTTGTCAAGTCAGAGGCGGGTGGGGCGTGGGCCGGAGGGCGTCCGGTCCTTGGTGACTGGCAGACCGGGCCCCTGGGGACCCCCCTGGCCACCTAGCGTGCCGCTGTCACCGCGCGGGCCTCCAGCCCACGGTGATGGCCCGTCGTGTCTGGGGGACTGCCGGGTGGGGAGGCCAGGGGCCTCAGAGTGGTGGCCGGCTCCTGCCTCCCAGGTCCCCGGGGCCCAGGCCTGACCCAAGAGCATCCCAGGCACTGGCCGGGTGGGAAGAGGTCTGGGCCGTGGCTCCCTTCTCATCTTTCCTCTAAACACCACAAACGCTGTGACCTGTCCAGTGGGCAGGGACGGTTCTGTGCCAGCGTCAGCAAATCACAGCTCTGCCATTACAAACGGCAGCCTTGAGGCCCCGCCGTGCCCGGCAGGCTCCACACTGCCTGCTCGGTGTGTCTGTCCAGACGGGCCCATGCACGCCAGACACAGGGAGTGGAAGGAAAACGGGCTTCCCCGGAGATGGGCAAGGGTAGTCCAGCGGAAGGGAGTCGCGCCACCACCTGTGCCTGTCCGTGCCCACCTGTCCAGGTGTGGTCACCTCCGGCCCCTCCTCCGGTGCGGCGCCTTCTGTGCTACCTCAGGAGGGCGCCCCCACATCCCCAGCGGCCTCTACGCAGGGGCAGGTTGCTGCACAGCCGACAGGTCCCCTGCGGGGACCCCCCCCAAAGCCAGCAGTCCCACCCGGGCACTCACTGGCCATGAAAAGGGCAGAAACACCCGAGGCCGGGCGTCTGCACGCTGGGACTTGTCTGCTTCCTGTTTCTTAGTGTAGCCAAACCACGCAGGTCCCAGAGCAGGCACGTGGCTGTCGCGACAGTGAGGGACAGGAGGGTCAGCCCACTCCTCCCCCACCCCACCCGCCCCCACCCCCCAGGCATCGTTAGGAGAAACTGCATCATCTCTCGTAATTTGCCCATACCACGTTCTCATGTGGCAGTTAACACAAATGGGGCGAAAGCTCATCTCGGAAGCGGGGTCTGGGGGGCACGGGCAGCCCGGGGGGCACGTTAGACCGGACGCCGAGGGCCGAGGGCTCCTGCGCCCCGGCCGGGTGGTGACCGCTCCCCTGCGTCCCCCCAGGCTTTGGAGTGGATCCATGACAACGGGGAGTTCTACCTGTCCACACACACCTCCACGGGTTCCAGCATACAGCACACGCAGGAGCTCCTGAGGGAGCACGAGGAGTTCCAGATCACCGCCAAGGTACCGTCTGCGGGGCGCCCCCGAGGCGTCTGGGGCGTCAGGTCCCCGGCACCCCCAGCTGATGCGGGCGGGGCCTCAGGGATCACGGGTCTGCCCAGCTCCTGCCTGGGCTGCCTGCGTGCCCCAGGGCGGACCCCCACTTGCTTTATCGGCCCCCCTCTTTTCCAGTTCCTGCACACGCCTCCCATTTCCGTCCCTCTCCCCGACCCTCGGCCCTGTCCTCGTTTCATTCCCTTTGCCAGAACTTTTCTGAGCGTTTCCCCCTTTGTTACGAAGCCGTTTGGCAGCCCGGCGTGGCTGGTCCTCGGGCTTCTTCCCCGGCCGGGGCTGGCGCGGGCTTGTGCTCAGCCGGACCCCGCTGCCCGCTGCCGAGCCTGCGTGCACCCGCGCTTCAGGTCGGTGGGCTGGAGGCTGCTCGCTTCCCCCCATCAGCTTGCACTGAAACACACCCTGTGGCGCAGGGTGGTGGCCCGGAAAGGTGCTTTTCAGCAGATGGGGACAGCCACAGGGCGCTCACCTCAGGACGGTTGTGAGGCCGGAGCTTTCCTTCTCGGCCAGAGTCTTTGTCTTACAGTTTTAGAACAGACCTTCTTTGTGATGGTTGCAGAAGGGGCTCAGTTCTCCAGGATGCGTTTGAGGTTTTGGGAAAAGCAGACAATTAATTCAAATAGAAGAGTAGAAAATAATGGCCACGCTGAATAATATTTTGGGTTAAAGAGAATCGAAGTCAAAAGAGTGCTTTTCTTGGGCTGCCCTGAACCTGGCTTTGAAAACATAACAAAGGGGAATTTTTAAATCATTCAAATGACAAGGGCTACTTTGTATTCTGTTTGTACCTTTTTTCATGTTTCCTGTAACAATTTCTGGCTCCTCCTGCTGCTCTTCCCCGCCCTCTGCTCGGCACCCTCCGCCCCCACCCAGGCTCCGAGTTTTCTCTTTCCTTTCACCCTGGGGTGCCTGGCCTGGGAACCGGTGGTCTCCAGCCTGGGGGAGCGTAGTCTTGTGGGGTGCAGGCAGACCTGGACCTCCCCCCCCGCCCCCGGGCACCATGAGCTTTGGGGAAGGGTGGGCTCAGGCACGCTGCACCCAGAGAGCACTGGGCGAGGGCGCCCGCCTGAGGAGAGCTGACCTGCCCTGCCCCGCAGGTAAGGAGGGTGTCCTGTCCTTCCGCTCGGACCAGAGCCCCTTGGGCTGTGAGTCTCATGTCCGCGCATCGAGGACCATGCGTGGATCATACGCACTCTGTGATCTGTACTTGCTTCTTTGAATGTCCTTTGATTCTGTCTAGAGATAAGACTGTTCAAGTGCGTAGAGTCCTTATGTACTTCTAGAACGCAGATCTGTGTCTGCGATCGCCTCTACAGGTAACAGGATGAGGCTGAAAACCCTTATAATTTTTCCTTTTAAAGAAAACAATAGGATTTTTTTTTTTTTTTGCATTGTGTTAAGTAGCTTTCTGTGGAAAAATTAATTTGGATAGCTAGATAAATGCCCCAAGATTTAAATGCCAACCGTGGCAACCCAAGCAGGATAGAAGTAACAGGACATAAAACACATCAAGGAAAGCATGGCTGTATTCACCTACATTCAGAAAAAAAGAGACATTTCCAGAGGACGGCCCAACCAGCATAACTCAAGACTCAAGACCAAGGCCAGATAAAAAGATAGCTGTGCAACTCACAGAGGGCTGGCTTCCCAGTCGTAGAGAGCTTTTACAAATCAATAAAAGCAAAGAAAGTGAGTGACGAGAGCCCTTGAAAGATGGCTCGCATGTAGGGATTAGAAGTGACTCGCGAGCAGACAGGCGACTCAGCTTTACTTACAGTAGGGAAGTGTCCGCCGACGCTTTCACCCAGGAGACCCGCAAAGGCCAGAGAGCAGGACAGCCTGTGTTAAGGCTTCCGGGGTGGGGTAGGGAGCTGCGGCACCCCGGCATCAGCCACGCACCCGCTGTCCCCCTCCCCGTGCTGGGCCGTGGGTGCCAGGACACATGGCTGTTTTTTGCACTTTGCCCGTGGAGAGGAAGAACGTGCAGGCGCCTCAGTGGGAGCAGGTTAGCTAGCAGCACCCCCTCCCACGCAGGCAGGAGGCTCAGCACAGACAAGGAGCCGCTGTGCCCAGCTGGTGGCCATCCGGGGGCTGCGTCCGGCGGGCGGGGCCGAGCCATGGAGTGCTGGCAAGCGGGAAGCTTCTCTGCGTCTGGGGCGCACCCCACCCACAGCTGCCCAGACAGCGCCCTCACTAGGAGCGTTTCCACACGAAAGGACTACGATATACACGGTGCCGAGGCTTTGCTGACTTTCTCCAATAAACCACTTTTGTTGACTCTGCAATAGAGATTGTTGCCCAGAGGTGCTGACGTGCCTTGAGTTCTGTTTCCATGTATTTGTTCCAAGTGCATGGCCTGTCAAGGACAACAGCTGCTCCTACTGGCAAGAGGAACCTATTTCCCCATAAATATGTGGTGTCCTGGACACATGGAAGGTTCGGGAGTACTGAGCAAATGCCCCGGCCCGTGGAGGTGGCGTCCTCGCGGGAGCAGGACAGTCGGGACTGGCAGAGGAGGGCCCGCTGGAAGGCGGACTTGGGGGGCTGGGCCCTGCAGAGCCGCCACGGACAGCCACGGACTCGGTCGGGGACCACTTCCGGGCAACGGCCCCGGCTCACAGGAGCAGGGCCCCCAGAGCAAGCACGTGCCTTTGGGGTTGTCCCCTGGAGCCCAGTTGACTCTCAGCGCTCCAGGTTGCCTAAGTGAATAGTGACCCCAAAACTCCTGTCACACAAACTAAGACAATTTTTTGAGGTTTTGCACATCAAGCTTCCTTTTGGTGATTTTTAAAGTTGATTTCCTGGGCACTGTTAGCCATGAAGTTTTCTAGGGAAAGGTCAGCTGACAAAAGTGAATTGCGCAGCAGAAGAGTGACCTTGTGGTCCTCCCGTTGTGAGTGGGATGTTGGAGGGGACCGAGTGGGGCCAGCAGGTGAGACGGAGCTGGCGAATGTCAGCCAGCTCACACCCCGTTACCTCAGGGTGACCCCTAACTTCACATGAAGGCAGACTTAGTAAATG